GATATTTGTTAAGATTTGCTTTCAATTGTTGATAGAGACATGTCGACAATTTCATGGACATGATTACGAAATATCATTTTGTATTTTCCTTTGAAATTAAAAAGAACAAAACAAACCGAAAAAAAAAAAAAAAAAAAAATTGGATTTTAAGCCCAATATCTGTGAGCCAAAATTATTGACCATATTGGGCCGGTATCGGCCCAATACTTTATTGTGGTCCTTTTGAAAACAAATTTATAACGTGGAAGAGAAGAGGGAATGTCATATTCAAAAAAGAAAAAAGCTAAGATTAAATCCTAATCTCATAACCTTTTCTTACATCCCTAACATAATAGTAGATTAACACTGTCACGTTAGCTCCTAGTCCCACTACACCCAAGGCACCAAAGGTATCACTAGAAACGAACGGTCGTTCTTTCAGAATGAACGGTTGTTAAGGAAAAACCATTTATTTGGTTGTTCCTCAAGGAAAAGTCATTCATTTGACTGTTCCTTCATAAAGAACGATAATTTCTTTGTGAGGAATAACCATTCCTTCATAAAAAACCACGATTTTTTCATAAAGAACTGTCGTTCCTTTTAAAATCATTTTGATGTGACAATGCCAATTCAGTTACCACGTAGGGATTGTAAGAGAAGTTTGTGAGAAAATATTACTGACGTAACATTACTCTTCAAGAAAACAAATTTAGTAGAGTATTTGGTGGGCTCTGCCTCTGTCCCATGAATATGATTTAGATCATTGGATAATCTAGTCCAGATTATAAGGGATTTCTTTGCAATTTATAGTATTATAAGTAGCCACTTTTGGAGTTTATTACAACAAGGTCAAGTTATTTAAAATTGATTCAATGTAAAATGCTTAGACCATTACTATTAGTATCAGAAAAAGCATCTTTTGGATACTAATTAAGCACAACTTAGATTCTTAAATTGTATCTTAGTTTATGGAAAGGTATTTTCAAATAGACACTTTGCCGTATCTCAAATATTCTACACCGAAGAATTTCACCCTTTGATCGGCTATTATTGAGAAGCAACTTCTTTATGTGGGGAGCCCTATGCAAAGGATATAAAAAAAGGAGGCCCAAGAACACCTCTATAGATAAAATATTTGAACCAACTAAATGTTATAAATTAACAAATGTGTAGCTACAAGAATTATTGTTTTAATTAAAAAATTATTGTTTTGATTTCTTATTTTATAATTCATGTTTTAGTAGCATTAAAATTTTAATTCATTGTTTTAATAGCATTAGGATAGTATGAAAATAATTATCAAAGAGTTGTTTACAAAATTGAGTGATCAGATTCAACAACTTCACAACACCAATCAAATGGATATTAATATTTTCTTTAATCATCCAAATGAGTAATAAATTGTGTAAGTTTTAACTAAATAATAAATTCTTACTGTAATTAGACAAGAAGAGGAAATTGATAATCCTCGGGATTAATATAGTACAAAAATACCAAAAGTTTCATGCAAAAAAGCTCCAAACATACAGTTAGAAATATTTCGGCTTTAATAAGAAGGTGTTCATATTGACGACTTATTACGTACCCCCAAGATAAAATATATCATAAAAACTGTAAAGCTTAAATCATTGTCTCAAACAACTTTAGATAAATATTTTACTTTATCTTAAACATTTAATATAACATAACATATATTTTTTTATAATATACATATAATTATTACTATGTAGAGGCAAGTTCTTTAAGACATGATCTAGAACAACTATAACTTATTACAATGTAAAATTTATTCTTATTTATAACTGGCCCAAGTTGAGACCATAATTTTTTATGACTATATAGAGATTATTCCTATATAGAGTATCACTATAGAGAGGTTCTACTGTAATTTAAAATTTTTCATTCTTCAAACTATGTGAGCAACTTATTGATATTAAATAAATATTAATGAAGAAAGACCTGTTAAATTATTACAATAATATTATACTTACAAAGAAATCTTACAAAAATCTATATATAAAATGAAGTGGAAAAAAATAATGAAATTTGTTATTTCATTTTTTCATTCATTTTTTAATACATTATTTTATATGTAGATCTTTGTATGTGTTAGTATTATTCAAATTATTAACATATATTATAACCTTATAAGAGGAGGAATGTCATTTTCAAGAAAAAATAAAATAAATATTGGATTTGCCCAAGATTAGTGGATAAATCCAGTCCACTTTAACGAAAACATTATTAAAGTACATTGATAGTTACTCAAATCACTATTATAATAATGGGTTATTTTTTTTATTTTTTATTTTTAAAGCAATCATAAGACCTATCTCATAGCCAAGGTCAATAGTCAATACCATAAAATTATTCTCTTCTTTTCATAATTTGTTGTTAGCTTTCACTACCATTTCTAAAAGTTATTATAATATGCTTTCAAATATTATAATTGTACTCTTTGTTTCACATGTAGTGACACTTGATTGAAAAATGAAAACTTAAATTTTCGAGCATTAAAAAAAAAAAAAAATATTATCTCCACTTGGCTTAGAGTTGATACATTTCTGTTATTCTAGGCCATTGCGATTACGAGTTGAAAATTTAACTATTTTTTGAATGCGTATAACTGTACTCAAAACTATTATTGATAATAATAAATTTTGTAACTTGTATAAGGAAATAGTAAACTTAACCGATCATTCGACTATTCATGGTATAATTGTCGAACGTCAAAATATGTTTTGTGGGGGAATTCAAACCCTAAACCTTGTTGAAAGAAATTAGATATTTAACCATGTGTTTCAAGTTACTTATTGGATGGAATGAAATGAACTAGATTTTAATATTAATTTAAATTGAATTAGATTGGATAGGATTTTGGATTGTGATGTTTATATATTGTATATTGTATTAAGTCAAAAATAGCAAGCATTTTTTTGTCGATAACGTGTTGAAATTAGAAGTCATCTTAATAAAAATGTGCATTCTCTTTGTAAAAGCATGCATTATGAATAACACTACAATTCTCTACAAGAAAGTTGGTAAAAGAGGTACTGGGTTGAGGTTGGTGATCCAATCGTCACCTGGGACTTTTGAGTGTATTATTTAAGAGGTCATAAATCTGATCTATTTGAATTACCAACAAGAATGACCACTTAGGAGATTTACTTGATTATCAATTTTAAGGTCCTGAAAAATTAGTTGAGATGTGTATAAATTGACTCGAACACCTCGATAAAAAAAAATTAATAAATAAATAAAAAGTTGGTAAAAGGGAAAAGAAATTAAGCCAGTGTCTAGCTTTTCTTTAGGCTTTTTGGTTAGTGGAAGTAGTAATTGGAATTGTGGATTATTGGCATAGTGCTTTGCATATGTTCCTCGTTTGAATCCTAACCAATCCGATTCAAGATATAAACAGTTCAAATCTAACCCAACCCCACCTCAACAATACAGTACAAATTTGAATTTCTCTTTCATGGATTCAAGTGGTTCAATAAATTTGGATTCCCTTTCTCTATAATTTGATATTTTGAAAACAATATAATGCTCATTTTTCTCATTTTCTATGTCTCTCTTTCAGTAAGACTTGGAATTTTTTACCAAACCTTTTTATTACATTCCACCTCGTTAATAATGGAGTTTGAAAACACCTATTTCGTGTAAATCTGAACCTCCTCGAGATGTAACACTATCATCGAACTTATCTAAATTTTCTAATATTAGAGGAGTTTGGGATTGACCAATGAAAAACATGATTAGCATATATAATTTTGTTTAAATTAAAAAATAATGAATTTTTATATATTTACTCCAAATATAGGCAAGTTCATAACATTTGTCATACTTTTTAGCTTTTTTTTTTTTTTGACAGGAGGTATTCAGGTCAGCTTACTCGCACTTTGACTAATCTTTAAAGACCTTAAAACTACTGATTGGATAAAAGTTTTAGTGGCTATCCCTATTCATATCTGAGAAGGGACTCGAACTTAGAACTTTTTGAGTAATACATCTAAAAATCCATATTGAACCACTCGACCACGTAAAGATAATTAGTTCATAATGTTTGTTATACTTTTTTATTTTTTTTATTAAGCCATTACATAAACGTTAGGTTGAAGAAAGTAAATGATTTATATGGACAAATAATTGAATTTTGAGTAAAAATATTATTTTATATTAAAAATAACTATTATAATCTATTATTATTGATTAATTAAACCGGTTGACTAATGGTAATAAATTCATTAAGAGAAATTTAACTAAATTACAAAAAAAAAAAAAAGAAAAAAAAGAATCAATCTATTTTAGATGGCGACTTGAACTTTGATTATAAGTAACTTAGAGTCAAAAGAACAAATATTCTGAAATCCCAAACTTTTTCTTATCTACAAGAATATTACGACTTTTCAACTCCAACAATCACTATTCTATTCTATATTGTCAAATTAACAATAAATTACAAAAATGTGATAAGATTTCCTTTGTTGAAATTATTTTATAATATTGTATAATAAATCTACGACTCTTAACTTTATAAACTGTTAAATTTTCTCTTGAAATTATTGAAAACTTTTTAAAAAATAAAAGAAAAACCCTTAAAATATATACAAAATCTCTAATAAAACCTTTATTTGGGTATTAAATAATTTTAAAAAAGTTTTAGAGTGCCAAAAGTGGAAGCCAGTGCTAACTTATATAAGCTTTTATTTCATTTTTGATACTATATTTGAAAAAAAAAAAAAAAAAAAAAACTTATTATTTACTGCTAAAAAATTAAATATTCCACAATTCAACCCAACCGGAAGACCCCAGTCAAAAAAGGTCCGATGAATCAACATCAAACAGCGATGATCATCAATCAACCCAATCGCAGCCGTTCAATTTTTGTACACACCATCCATCCCTTCATTTACACGCGTTTGCTCGAGTGTGCGGCGCGAATCCGCATATTACCCAAATAAATATGCCACGTGTGCCCTTTATGCTGACCCTGGTTAACTTATCATTCCCCTTTTCTACTCTAACCCTAGTCGAAGCTATATATACCTTTCCCACTTCCCCATGCATTTAACATTTTTCTCTTTACAACAAAATTTTCTGTTTGTTTCCTTGGAAAATAAGTAGAGCAAATCAAATGCAAACCAATCTTTCTGACAATTAATTAGTTCTGGTTTCTGATCTTGCATTTTAAAAAGAGAATTCAATTGAATTGTGAATGATTGTGAATAAGGGAAAGAAATTGAAATGGCGGAGCGGAGATTCGGAATAGGTTACGCTTTGGCACCAAAGAAGCAGAACAGTTTCATTCAAGAATCGTTAGTGAGCCTAGCGAAATCACGCGGCATCGATCTAATCAAGATCGACACCGAACGTCCGTTAGTGGATCAGGGACCGTTCGATTGTGTGCTACACAAGTTGTACGGTGAAGATTGGAAGAAACAGCTCCAACAATTTCAAGTTCAGAACCCTAATGCGACTATCATTGATTCTCCTGAAGCAATTGAACGGTTACATAACCGGATTTCGATGTTGCAGGTTGTTTCGGAGCTCAAGACTGAGAATCAGTCTGAAACCTTTGGGATTCCGAAGCAGATTGTGATTTACGACAAGGAAACGCTCTTTGATCGACAGGCATGGGAGTCGTTGAAGTTTCCGGTTATTGCGAAGCCTTTAGTAGCGGACGGCAGTGCGAAATCGCATAAAATGTCTTTGATTTTTAACCACGATGGCTTTAATAAGCTAAAGCCACCAATTGTTCTTCAAGAATTTGTTAATCATGGAGGAGTTATTTTCAAGGTTTATGTTGTTGGTGATTACGTGAAATGTGTGAAAAGAAAGTCTTTACCTGACTATTCTGAAGAGAAACTGAAGGGTCTCGAAGGTTCTTTGTCGTTTTCTCAGGTTTCAAACTTGGCTACCAATGAGAGAATCAATGAGAACTATTATGAGATGATGCACCTTGAAGACATTCAGTTGCCTCCTCAGAGTCTTATAACTGATATTGCTAGGGGTTTGAGAAAGGCTATGAAATTGAATCTCTTTAATTTTGATGTTATTAGAGATACAAGAATTGGGAATAGGTATCTTGTCATTGATATTAATTACTTTCCGGGTTATGCCAAAATGCCTTGTTATGAGACGGTCTTGACTAATTTCTTTTGGGATATAGTCAATAAGACTGACGCGGAGGTGTTTGAAGGAACAAGTGAGGAGAAAGCAAGAAGCGTTCCTTGCAAAGAAGAGGGCAAGATGGGAAGCGATATCTGCTGCAATGACGGGGAAGAAGTAATAGAAGGGAAACCCCAGTTGACAAATATGTAGCAAATACCTGAGAAGTGTGTCTGGCTCGCTGGTTCATAGGTTTGGTGATTTGGGTTAACTGAAATTGTGTTAAGAATTTGGATCCTTGTGCTTAATTGTGAACCCGAGCGAGTAGCATATTTCTCTTTTAGGTAGCAGTTGGTCGGTTGGTACAGTGGTGAAATAAGTAGGTTGGTTGGTTGCTTCTTGGCGGTAGTTTCAGCCTCTTGACAACAATATATGGTGTTTCAGTGTTTGATCATGTATATTCCATCCACCATTACTCTGGAGATAGGTACTTCTCAAATACTTTGAAAAGTTTTAGGAAAGCTAAGTTGTACTCCGAGGCTTTAAGTGTTTTTTAGACCTATTCTAGTTTTGTTCCTTTGGCATCTTTAGTCAATGGATTTTGTCATTCTGTTGATGATAATTTCATTTTCGTTTTCTTGCTTTCTTGTGTGGGTTGATTATTGTTGAGAATTGATTCGTGCAGACCTGCTGTGGTTGTGATCTATGCGGTTGCTGGCTTTTTAACATGTTAATTAGAACCAACAAATGAGTTACGAAAACAAAAACACAATAAGCGTGTTATTTGTTGAGTTGGTATCTTCTATTTTGAAGAAATTGAAGAAGAAGCAAAAATATTGAATAGAAAGTTCTAATTTTTGTATATTTGACTCAGCTGAGACCGTTATATTGTCTTGACTTTAATTGAAACCTTTTTCCTTTCAGTGAGTGATTGACATATTAATTTTATTTTTGGATTTTGTTCAAGGGTGATAATTTGACCTGGCTTACAGTTGTTGCTAATAATTTGAGAATTTTATATCTCTTTTGAGGGAAGTTTAGTACAGTAATTGAATTCTAGATAGCATGCATTAAGCTATTCTTCTTTTCTGGGTTTATGATTTGTAATGTGTATTAAAATGGAAGCGCTGGCCAATGCCACAAAATAGTGGTACTGTGCTAGCGTGCACTTCTCTTAGACAAAATTTATCTTTCTATGATTTTATTCATTCTATTGCTTTCATGCTTTCATTTGTATGGTTGATTGCATGGTTTGAATAATGCTTTTAGAAGTACGCTAGTAACATTTTGGATTCTTTTAATGAAAAATATATGCTTCATCCCTAATGGTGAACCATAAAGTTGACATTTAAATGCATTGTTAATTAATAATGCCAAATCAAAAAAGGTTAACTAAAGTTAGACTACCGATGAATTGGTTTATCAATTAATGTACACTAGGGATTGCACAATCAAATTTGTTGTAGACCAATGCTATGTCAAAGCGGATGGGGAAATTTCACATCTGTGTCTTATATAAGGGGTGTTGTACAAATGTCATGTCGTTGAGTCCTATGTTTGAGGGTTATCTAAAGTTTAACGGTCAGGTTCGAGATCTTTTATCAGTATCTGATCACGACAGAGGAGGTATTGGTGTTGAATCTTACACTTGTCATAGTGGACTGAATATTAACACCTTTTTATTTTGTCTGATGCATGATTTGAGCAGTTATGTTTAGTAACCGCACTTCCGTTTGTCCTGAAATCCTAGTTTAACTGTGGGATCTAAACACGTGTCATCTTTTGGTTTGAATAAAATATGCGTTGTTCTTGATTTCTTAACGTGTTTGTTTCTGATTCGAACAACCATTGCTGGCTCACATGTATGCTTCTGTGTTTAATCATTGGTATACTTATTGTATACTTATGTGTTTTCTATTTACAGATATTGTAATACTATGAGTGTGTGTGCTTTTGACGTTATGTTGTCGTCTGAATGGTGTACTCCAGTGCATGCTACCTGAGTATTGTTTAATTATTGAAAAGTTACTCTAGAGTTGTATTTTCTTCTCGATGCTGTATAACTAAAGTAGTGTCAACTTCTTGTTGTCCAGTAGTCGCTTTGTCTTCTAGACATGGGTTTAGGAAAGGTGATTTGGTCATGGTTTGTTCTGTGACAATTCCTTTCCTTTTTGTTTATTTTGTTTTGTCTTTTATGAAGTTAAGGCTACATAATACACTCAAGTTATCTTAAGTTAATTTTCATACATCACTATTTTGTATATCATCGTTGATAAGAATACCTTTTAAAGATACATGGAATACCATCTATAAAGATTTTCATCCTCTTGGATCTTGAATCTATTACTATTTAACCCTTCATGCTTTTCATTTCTATTCATGGTTCCTTTTTGGGTAAGTGGCCCATGCCAGTTTCTTTCATTAATTACAAAGTAATTTTATGTTGAAATTAGTAATATTCATGACCTGTGTTTCTGTATTACTGTTAGTACATTTTGATGCCATTGAATTCTTATGATACTAATTCCTTTTGCCTATGGTTGGATGCATAGATGGCTAGTTTTGTGAGTTATTTTTATAATAAATGTAGGAGATATTTTATTCCTTTCAAGAAAGTTTTGTGTGATGAATTGAATTCTAGATAGTGTTTAACTTCTTTTTTTTTTTTTCCTTTTAGGACTTTGGATTGCTTTTTGATGGATAATGGAAAATTTGATTTGTAGGAAATGTTATATATTATTATTGATGAGATTATTATGACTACTGTGCATTAGGAGTTGATCATAATTTTGCATTTAGATTAATATTTATGAGATGGTTTATCATCACTGTGCACCAGGAATTATATGGCCATGTTGTTTGCATGCGCTGCTGTCTCAGCACAGGTGGGGAGGGGTTGACGTAAGTGCATATTTTTGGGTGTCATTAGAAATTTCATCTTATAAACTTAACGTTAATAATAGGATTGTGAAACTGTGACAAACAACTGGTAATTGTTTAGAACGAAATCCGCCTTCTTAACCAAATTTATTTGGTAAGAAAACTTGTGAAGATATTCATTGTGAATCTGGTTCTCTTCAGAGGGGCTTCTCAGTTGACTGGTAGAAATTGTGTTGGCCAGCCTAAATTACTGCATTTCTGCTTGAATTTATGCTGTCTTGATGTATTAATAATAACTTTTGTTGTTAGAATAGATTGTACCTCAATTTATGATTTTGCTGGGTTGTCTCTGTAGATCAATTATAAGGTAAATATATAAGTGGTATATGCTATTTCCTTCAAGGTTGGGATCAACTACCTGATGCAGCCTTGACTTAACCTCTTCTCTCTAGGGTGGTCCATTCATTTGGAATAATATGTGGTACCTTCTGGAGTTTTGAATTTCCATGTCTATATGATTGTTGATTATCTAACATATGCATCGAGGGATCTGAAATGAATGGAAAATCTTTTGCCAATACTACAGTTGTTCTGCTTTTAGTGTACTTTGTTTCCTTTGTATCTATTTAATTTTAGGTAGCTTTGAGATGGAGAGTTGATTGATTGAGGGCTTAACAAGTTTTAATGTGAGTAATTTTCAATCCAAAATATTTTGAGGGTTGTATTTCAAAACAGGGAAACTGGTATTCTCGATGATCCAATCTGCTTTTGCTTTGATATTTTATATGGAGAGGTAAAGGTGGGCTTTCTTTGTCACATGAAGTGAGGTTTTTGGCCTATTGATTTTTGAAGTTATGGAATCTTTCGCTATGGATAGTTGTGCATTTTAAGCAAAAATGGATTTGTATGTATGTATGTATGGTTACTGGTTAGATTCATTGGCTGGCTGTAAAGCAGTTTCTGGGGAAATTCAATTCCCTACTGATGTTCGTCCATTTGTTCAAAAGGCCATTAATTCGGCTGAATTTCTGTCAGAAACGGGCCTGTGGATTCAATCAAGTATGGCTCATTTAACTAGAATATGTGATTGGCCAGTTTTTTTTGAAAAAAAAATGACAGTTTTTCCAAAAAATTTAATCTGAAGATTCTGAATAGCACCACAGCCAAAGACAGTGGGTCCAAAACCAACAACACCGGCCATAGGCTTGTGGCGTTGGCATAAGGCAAATCATAAATGATAGTATAAATTTTTTTCTATAAGTTTGACGTGACAATATTGTTTATTTGATTTATTATCTATTATTTAAAATTATTCACTTATTTTATACATCTAAAAGAGTATGTATAAAAACATTGTATCAAAATTACAAATATATTTAACTAAGAAATGTGTAGGAAGATTGAGTTGTAGATAATTTTAACATGTTCAGCTTCAAACAGTTGGAAAACTTGTTTGAATTACAAATATTTCGACTAGAAAATGTTATTGTTTTTGTTGTTTAGTGTAGCAGCAGTGGATTAATATTCTTTGTTTGTTTGGTAGCAAATCAAAGTTTGATTAAAATGTTATTGATACTGTCACATGAATTACTCTGCTTAGCGAAGACATTTCCATCTGTATTACTATTTATCTGAACACCAACATATTTCAGAAGCAGAATAATAAGAAACCAGACGGATCGAGCACATACAAATCACAAATAACTTGATTTATAAATATTTGCAAAATGAAAAGTCAAAACATTAATTCAAGCATATCCATATAATGTTGACAATCTGTCCTACATTCATCACTCTCAAAAGTATAACAAAAAAAGTAAATCAAGAGTTTCAAAAGTTCTACCTTTATATACAAACTAGAGGACCAAACCTTGCGCGGGTGGAGGTCCTGGCTTGGAAGGCTGCTGCTCACTTGGTTCCACCGATGCTTTTGGAGACTCAGATAGGTGAATCTGAGCATAGTCATCCACCATTTTTCTTTTTTGTTCTTCTTCAGCTATTTCAGCCATTCCCACTTTCTCCTTCGCCTTCTGGCCAACATCGCCAGCAGCCTTTGCAACCTTATTGAAAGCCCCTGTGACCCATGATGCCCCAGTGAATACATACCGGTTTTTCATTATGGCAGATCCGGCACTACTAACTTTTTGCTCAGCAGCAGCAAATGCTGATTTGGTTTTCTCTGAAACCTGGAATTTCTGATCAACTTCCCGGACTTTATCACCCACAACAGTAGTGCCAACGCTAATCTTCTCACTGAGCCCAATTTTTTTGTCTATAGAAGCAACTTTAGCTGACGCTGTTGAGGTCAATTGGTGCTTCTCATCAAGAGTCCTTGCTTTGTTGACAGCATCTTTGCCTAATATAAAACCCTTAGCAAGCATACTACTGACCACATCCTCTGCCTTACGGAAAGCAGATTCACCACCACCATTTTTATTTTCTGTTCCCTGCAGAAAAATGAATAATAATCAATTTAATGATGTGATAATGAACCAATTATAATAGAAGTTCAGATCAAGAATCTTACAAGGGGTGCCGACGCAGCAGGAGGAAGCTTATAATCTGGATCCGGAGTTATGGTCACAGACAGATCAACAATTGTTGCTCCCTGAAATAAACATGCACTTTTTACATAACTTCCATGAAAAATCAGGCAACCTTTATTATCCAATATCTCTATATATAACAATTCAGATTCTCCATATTACATGTAACAGGGTCTGGTGTGACAGGTCTTTCAGGTGTCAGAAATGAACAAAGGTATGTCTATGGGCTAATATAAATCTTCCACTAAAAACTTCTGTAAACCAGGTGAACAAGCTTGACAATAATGCTTGCTCCAGAAGTTCCATTTGACCAAATTCTCTAATCTAATGGAGGAATGGTATCACATTGTAGCACCACCCAAATGCATTCGTTCAACACCTATCTTTTTCTCCAAGCTTAAGCCATCCATTTCAAACAGTTGAGACACAACTGGACTTCAAATGGAAAATTTCTCTCGTAAAAAATTAATTTAGGATCATTTTTTCATGCTTGTTACCATAAATTTCTCTTATCTTCACACCAACCAAAATACATCTTGAGATGAAACCTAAATATCATAATAACATTTTACACCAGCTTGCACCAAATTTGTACTTCAATTTTGATGAGACAAATTCACTTTTCTATTCATAGATGAAATTTTTTGAAAGATTCTATTGCTTTGCTGTTATTCATGAAGGAAAACAAATAAGTTTTTAGCATCAGAACACTTAGGTCCAGCTATAAGAAAGTTTCTTATAATCAAGAGGTTAAACATCACACTTAGGTCCAGCTATAAGAAAGTTTCTTATAATCAAGAGGTTAAACATCAAAACATTATGGATAGCAGACTAAATGAAACTAATTTCCTCTCACAAGGAGAACAGGAAGTCATAGACATATTCCAATCACAGCAAGATTTCAACCTTGATGGAAAATTGCAAACATTAATATTTTATGAAGCAGGAACTATAATTATAAACATACTAATTTTAAGTAATAATTACTGGTTGAAACTATTAATCTTTTATCATGCTCCAGAGTCATTCGAGTTTAGCATATCTTATCAAGAAGACAACAAAAAAGATGGCCACATGTTGCTTAAAATTGCAGATTGTCTTATCATACTTGAGAGACACTGTGATAAACATATAACATCTGATTAATTCCAAAACAAATGTGTTGAAGCACTATGTTACTAAAGCACATATAGTATCTTTATTTCCCCTCTGAAAGAAAAAAAAACATATCCAATAAAATGATATCATGTGTGCCAGAGATGAACATGAGGAAGAAAATGATATTTCAATGTAATAAGTACTGAGAGCTGATATTACTGAAAGGAGAACTGCAGTCTCAGCTCCTTGTGAATCTTTGAAGGTTACATATGCAATTTGAGACCGTTCAGTATCACTGCAAAAGTGTATGATAAGCTTAATATTCATAGAGCAAAAAATGGTGAAAGAGGAATAATGAAATTAAACAAGGAAATAACCTCTGCATTTCAACATATTCAATATCACCAGAAAAGGAAAAAAACTCCTTGATGTCTCTCTCAGTTGCTCCCAGAGAGACATTGCTGACTTTGACAGTTTTGACCTGCTAGAGAGCAAATATGAGTTCTAAAACCTTATTGGAAACATAATGATCCCAAGTACTATCAATGATGTTCAGAGGTTGTATTTTGAAAGGATAACAGGTTTCTATTAAGAAATATTAAAGATTACATAGCATGAGATGATCTAACAAAACTTGATTCATCCTTCACTTAACCAAAACCAAGAGTCCACCAGGCCATTTAATTGGAATATCTGACCCTAACCCATATGACTATTGACAAAAGTGATAAATAGAGTGAATATGAGAATGATGCAAACATAAATATAGATAAACCACTAGATGTAGATGAAAGGGATTCAGGGTCAACAAATTTTAGCAATTACAAGTAATAGCAAGCTATGGATACACTAGTAGAATAATAATGCTTTTTTTTTTTTCCCCCATAAATGTTGTCCTTTGTCCTTTTTAAAGCAAGTCAAGATGAATACTGCAAATGAGCCACATGCCTTCAATGTGAAATCAAGCATAGAACTTTCACAAACATTTCAAACTAAATCTTGAAAAACATGTTGGATCAATCTATTTCATCAAAAAGATAGGAATTCTGAAATTTTTTTCTTTTGCTTTCATCTCATCCAAAAAAAAAAAAAAAAAAAAAAAAAAAAAAAAAAAAAAAAAAAAAAAAAAAATTCTGTACCAAAAGCTTAGGGATCGCAATGGAGCAAAAGTTTAGTTACTGAGTTTCCCAAAAAGATGAACACATTGCATTTGGAAATCTTAATTAATGTAGTCTTGAAGAATGAGACCACACTGCAAGGTTCAAGAAAAAAAGGCCTAAACTATTAAAAGACAGCAGAGGATAATTAACGCACGTTGTCCTTTAAACGTATCAATCAGCTAGTCACCAACTATTGATTCTCACCACCTAGTTTCCATCAACCAGCTTTTTAAATACTAGTGTGTTCATATAAAAGTGTGTGCGTGTCTATGTTCATTGAGTTAAATATATATAGACAATACCTTTTAGAGCTTAATACCATCGTGGAACCCTTACCAATCAGCTCAAGCTTTTGATGTGGTCACTAAATACGATGTCAGAGTCACGTTGACCAAGTGGTATTTTCTTAGGTGCAAATGAGGGGCGCTAGAGTTTAAATTCTACAGTTGGCCCTCGCCTCTAAGATTAAGATATAGGTATTGAACAAGAGCAATGGCCAATTTGAGAGTTATTGCGCAATTAATGATGCCAAGGTTCATGAGCAAAACCTAGGCAGGGAAGGGATCAACCACACAAATCTCAGAGAATCGATTGCATCAACTCAATGTATTACTTCACAATATCATGAATCCATAATTGTTAACAAGAAAACAAAAACAGAGAGAAATGAGCATGCTACAGCAAACAAATTCGATAAGCATCAAATCAGTTAAATATCTCTCCATCTTTAACGAACAGAAACAATACATTTCAACCATTTCAATCTGATTGAATCAAAACAAACAGATCTCCAAAATCAAATCAAATCAAATGAGAAGGTAAATAAATACTGACCGACATGATGCGGAAGCTTAGCTTGGAAGAAGATAAGAGTTAACGCGTATCCAAACAGAGGTTTTGTTTTGTAATTCAAATGCGAATTAGAGAAAAGAAGAGAAAGATGGTTATATATAGTATAGGTGGGCTGGGGTTGGGGTTTTTGGAGACCACGTGCGAGGCGTGGGGCTCATATCTCTCGCCGGCAGAAGCAGTCGTAGGCAGCACGTGCAGATCCCGGTATTGTGTTGAGAATGGAAATTTTAAGTTTTAAAGAAAAACGACGTGTAAACCGGTTAATTGAATTAAATGATTTAGCGTGTAAGAAACTCGAACATGGCCTTGAATTCAATGCTGGAGTTGGAGTTTCCGAGCATGGGCCCCATCTCCTGGGTCCTTGACTCCGTTACTAATTGGAAATTTACCTTCCAGTCCTGATAGAATGACACTAATCCATATTTACCCTTATTTTATTTATATAAATTACTTCAAACAAATAAATATGCATTCCCGTTGAACTCCCTTGTTTAAATATTATTCAGACTTAAATTACTGAATTGTCCCTGGTAATTAGTAAGCAAATAAGATTTTAACAAATTTAAAGGATAAGATAATCATTAATTGCAAATAGGAAGGAAATTATTGTACAATTATTCAAATACTATATACAATAAAAATCTCACTATATGAATAATTTCTATATAATCATACAAAATTATAGTCTCAACTTGAGATAGTTATAAATAAGATTAAATTTTATATTGTAATAAGTTATAATTTTTAGTTAGTTATCTTCTTCCTCTTCTTGTCAAATTGGAGCGATGGTTTCTTTTTTAGTTAAAACATATATGACTTGTTGCTCATTTGGATGATTAAAGAAGACATAAAATTTATTCAATTAGTGTAGTACAGTATTGCTCATGGATACAACTATTAGATTTCTGAAATTATGTCTATCTCTTTTATCAATGCCTATACCTTAGATTTGACATGCTTCATTAATTAATTATTAATGTAGTGCATACTTTATCTCTATATCACTTGCAATAGGGATAACGAAATCAAAACAATAATTTTTATAATCATGTCTCTCTTAAAATACAACCTGTTTATAGTAATAAATCAGTTTGGTCTCATCATTATGATTATAGAGAGATTTTTACCGTATAATATAAAATTCATTTTAATATACTTGTAAACTTCATAGTCATTAGCCTTTCAATCATTTGTCAATAAAGATTTTATCTTAAAATATTCTTAAAATATTCGTCCATTATTTATTTTACATATACTATAAAACCTCTCTATAGTTATAATAGTGGGGTCAAATTAATTTATTACTGTAAGGAAGTCATAACTTAATAAATTTATAATTAAAAAAATTACTGTTTTGATTTCTTATTTAATAATTCACGTTTTAGTAGTATGTATTAGGATTTCAATTTATTATTTTATTAGTTATTACTGCAATTAGACAAAAAGAGAAATGAAGCCATCTTGAGGATGATAGTACGAAAATATAAAAAGGTTCATGCCAAAAAAATTTAAACATGCTTGAAAAATTAGAAATATTTTGGTTTCAACAAAAATGTATCCATGTTAGCGAGTTATTACGTACTCACAAGTTAAAAAACGTGGTAACAACTCTAAAACATAGATCATTGTCTCAAACAACTTCATATAAATATTTTATTTTATTTTAAACTTTTAATGTAACATAACATATATATATATATATATATATATTGCAATATATAGATAATTATTTCTATGTGGAGACAACTTTCTTAAAATGAAAATTAGAAAAAATGTAACTTATTACAATATGAAGTTTATTCTTATTTATAACCATTCCAAGTTGGGATTAAAATTTTTTATTACTATATCGAGATTATTCTTATATGAAGCATTGTTATAAAGACATTTTATTGTATTATCATAAATTTACTACAACTTACAAGAGTAAATGACGTTTTCCCACCCAAATAATGGCTTAATAATACATTTCCCCCCATAAACTTTTAAAATACTACTTTATTATCCAAATTTATATTCCGTTTTTGAAATCAGCATCGTTGCAACCCTACACCACCACTATTCTCTTCCCCAATCATCACTCATCAAAATCCCTCAAACCTTACTCTTACTGCCCTCATCAATCACTGAAAATTGAGTGATTAAGGTTTGTGTAGCCGTCTATTCCAAGTCAAGTTTTGATAAATCCCAACCACCAAAATCCAATATTTTACTACTGAAAGATCCATCTGCCTCCCCTCTTTAAAAGCCATAATAGTTTGAATCGAATTTGCTCTTTATTTATTATGAGAATATAAATTTGGCTGATGATATGGTATTTTAAAAGTCTATAAGTAAAAAAGTATCATTAAATTATTATTTGGATTAAAAAAAAAACCTGCTAACTCAACCTAGAATGATAACTTTTCGGTTGGTCACATAAAATAAGTTGACGAAATCGACACAAAGAGTTCCCACACTTATGCCATATTGTCCTCATTAATTGTTTTACTTTTTTTTTTTTTTTTTTTCCTTATATGTATACACAATCAAAATCAATCTTTTGTCTTTCTTTGTCAGTCCTTCATACAAGCTGAATACTTATCCTCCTTCATACAACTGCCCCACAAAACAGTACCTTAGAGCAAGAAGTAACTGATAGATTAACAGGATATTTCTTTCTTCTGTTTTCCTTCTTGCGTTGTAGGAAAAAAAAAAAAAAAAAAAAATATATATATATAATATATATATTAAAGTTCTATATTAAATTCAAGAGTTGGTCTGATAACGAAGGAGGTTTGTTTCATTACTTGAGTATTGAGTTCAAATCTTGAGTCATCTATCACAATAATTATAATTTCCTAATCGTTGATTGTAAGATGTTCAATCGACTTTGAAGATTAATTAAGGTATGCATAAATTGTTTCGAACACAACATTATTAAAAAGAAAATTTCTATTTCAACTTGCGGTAACATGCATACAAAAACCGATTTTCAGCTAAGTTTTTTTTTTTTTCTCTCCCCCTTTCCTATGGCTTGACTCAATTTTGTTGACTTAGTAACAAATGAGCCTTTCCTAATTAGTCATCTTCTCTGGTTATGTGCTCATCATAAATCTGATAAAATACATCATAACTATATACGAGCTCCATGATAATTGATTTCTAGAAAAATTCCAGAGTTCTCTGCTACAAAAGAATGAAAATGCCTTCATTTAAATTCTTCCTTCTTTTTCAGTTTGTCTATCTTCTGTGCTCTCTGATCAATTTGATAAATGCAACCCCCATTTTACCTTTATCACATTTGCCCAAACACTTCTACTTCCCCCAGGAACAACACTTATCAAACAACCGGAATCTTTTGTTCACTTCGTTTTCTTCCTTGTCAACCGGAACTTTTTGTTCACTTCGCTTTCCTCCCATGTCAACGATAACGGTTTCTTCAACGACACGCAGCACCACCCCAACAAGGTCTATGATCTGAATTCCATCAATTTTGCCATTTCGGATGCAACTAAACGTTGCCCTGTTCAGAAAGAATTTGTAATTGCTACGAGGGGTGCCTTTTACGTTACTCAGATAAGCCTTTCTTCTCTACAGTGGATGATGACGAGGGAGTTATGAGACTAATGTAGACAGTTCTTCCAGAACGACCCGGTTTAGCGACTAGTGAGCGAATGATAAACGAGACGGTAACTGAGGCAGCGAATTTCTCGAAAAGGTTCATGACGAAGAGGGGAAATATCACATCGTCCCAATCACTGTACTGTCTTGCACAGTGCACACAGGACCTTTCAAGTCTTGACGGTAAGAGATGTCTTCAAAAATCTATTTCATTCATCAGTTGCGGACGACGCAGCAAGGAGGAAGAATGCTGTATCCGAGTTGTTATAGCCGGTATGAACTGTACCCGTTTTATAATGTAAACGGATCTGTGGCTCCGGCAGTGCCTCAATCTCCTCCGCCTCTTGCTTCTGTGACAAGGCCTGAAGGTAAACTGGAACGCACTTTGAATTAGAAATTAAAATTGTTACCAAAATACCCATGAATTTCTTGCATATCTAATGAAACATTTTCCTGTTTCTCGCAGGAAGAAGCCGAATCTCAACTTCAATAACCATTGCCATCATTGCTTCAATTGCTGTCGCTGTGGTGCTTTCCATTGCGATATATTGTCACATACGTAGGAGAGCAATAAAGAAGAATAGTGATATACAGGAAGATGATTTTGGTAAAATTACTTTAAATAGTTACAATATTATTAATCTTTCATGTCCCATTTTTTCAATCTTTTCAAGTTTGTATACCAAATTTTTAATTAAATTCGTGGAATGTATAGTATTACTTATAGTTTACACTCTGTGCATCAGGGAATGATATTACAAAGGCCTTGCAATTTGATTTTGGGGCAATTAAAGTAGCCACAAACAATTTCTCAACTGATAATAAGTATAAGTTGGGTGAAGGTGGATTTGGTGAGGTTTATAAGGTATAACAATATTATGTTGCATTCATCCGAGAAGTTTCATAGGAATTCATGATCTAGTGATTGACTAATGAACATTCTCAGGCATACTTCCTAATGGACGAGCAATAGCCGTAAAGAGGCTTTCGAGAAGATCCTGCCAAGGTTCTGCAGAATTCAAGAATGAAATCGTATTGGTAACCAAGCTCCAACACAGAAATTTGGTTAGGCTGTTGGGATTCTGCTTGGAGGGAGAAGAAAAGATTCTTACATATGAATTTGTTCCCAACAAAAGTCTTGACTATTTTTTATATGGTCTGAACAGTCTCTATGAATCCAATGACTCTTGAGTTCAATATCCTTTATTCACATATCACATTAGACTTGGTGAATTTTTATTTTATTTTATTTGTCCTCCGTAGATGCATGCCATGGAGTTGATCATTCAGTAAGCATTTGAATCTGGTCCTTAGAAATCAATTTTCAAACTTTATTTGGATATATGCAGATCCTGAAAAGTAAGGACAATTGGATTAGTGAAGACACTACAAGATAATTGGAGGCATTGCTCGAGGGCTGTATTATCTTCACGAGGACTCTCAGATTAAAATTATTCATCATGGTCTCAAAGCTAATAATGGATTGTTAGAAGAGAGTATGAACCCCAAAATTTCCGATTTTGTCATGGCGAAAATAGTTGGAGTTGATTCATCCCAAGTACATACAAACACACTGGTCGGGACATAGTAAGTTTTCACTCCCACAACTTGCTCTGCATATTCTGGATTTATACTGCATCGTGACTATTGATAATTATTTACACATTTCTAATTAAAATTTGACAACACAAAGTTGGATCGTGTCTACTTTACAGTGGTTACATTTCACCAGAATATGCTATACATGGGCAGTGTTCAGTGAAATCTGATGTGTATAGTTTTGGAGTTCTAGTTTTGGAGATTATTACTGGCAAGAAGAACAGCAATTTCTATCAAACAGATGGTGCTGAGAATCTCATGAGCTACGTAAGCAAAAGAAAGATATTGTATTTACCTTTTCCCTTTAAGAGTCAGCATCTTTACATACTTGATTCATTATTGCAGGCTTGGAAACACTGGAGAGATGGAACACCCTTGCAATTGTTGGATTCAACTCTGTCAAATTCTTATTCAAGAGATGAAGTGATCAGATGTGTCCATGTGGGGTTGTTATGTGTCCAGGAATATCCAACAGAGAGACGAACAATGGCAACAATAGATCTCATGCTTAATAGTTACTCTGTTACTCTTCCATCACCTCAACAGCCAGCGTTTTACCTCGGCACTGGAAGGGAGGTCAGCATGCCACTGCAGCTTGGCTTTGAGCAAACTACAGACAAGACAACGGCATGCTCTGTGTATGAAGAGTCCATTACTGAATTATATCCTCGATAATGGGGGATGACTGCTGAGCTTGTGCTTCAAGAATCAAGATTTTGTATAATATGGTTAACTTATATATATATATGTATATATATTATCTTTTCAAAATGAAAGGTGAAGGTGGTATACTAGAATTATGAAGAAAGTGGAAGTAAAAAATTTTACCTGCAGTACTGAGTCCTCAAATTTTGTTGTTAATTTGCATTTTGTACTTTTTATTTTGCATCAACTCAATGTATTACTTTACAATATCATGAATCCATAATTGTTAACAAGAAAACAAAAACAGAGAGAAATGAGCATGCTACAGCAAACAAATTCGATAAGCATCAAATCAGTTAAATATCTCTCCATCTTCAACGAACAGAAACAATACATTTCAACCATTTCAGTCTGATTGAATCAAAACAAACAGATCTCCAAAATCAAATCGAATGAGAAGGTAAATAAACACTGACCGACATGATGCGGAAGCTTAGCTTGGAAGAAGATAAGAGCTAACGAGTCTCCAAACAGAGGTTTTGTTTTGTATTTCAAATGCGAATTAGAGAAAAGAAGAGAAAGATATTTAAGGAGCGTTTGGTTAAGGGGATGTTGGATTACTAAAAAGTTAGATTATCTTAAAAATTATTGAGAATCTTTAGGAAAATGTGTTTGGTTAATTGGTGGGTATGTATTTAAATTACTGAATTGTTCTCTAATTAAATATTATTATTATATTATTTTTTTATATTGATTATTATAATCCCCCTACATTTAAAAACTTAGCAAAAACTACTGCGTAATAAAAGTTTGAAAAATCAACAAAGCACCCTCACCAACCCAGTCATTGCCGACTGCCAACAGCCGGCAACCTAACGACGCACGAAAGGCAAGAAATGGCCTCCATACACCGTATGGACATATCAGCACACAACGGCCATTTTCGGCCTTTTGTACGCCGTTCTGGTGGCGACGACGACTGGCCGTGGTGGTGGTTAGTGGGTGGGGGTGGTGGCCTGGTTGGGTTGTAATTTGTTTTGAATTTAAAAGTAATTTTGTTCAAAAAATTAATTAATTGCGGTGAAATAGAAAAAACCATATCATGTAAATAAATTCAAAAATAAGAGCATTATTGTCCTAAAATTTTATTAGTAAGGGATAAAATTGTAACAAAAAAAGATAGCCCTAGTAATCTTAGAATACCTAAGAAAATGGAGGTAATCACCCGCTTAACCTTAGTAATTAAATATTATATAAGATGACTTAACCCTAATAATCCCACATAATCTTTAACCAATCACCGCTTATAGATAATATGGTGGGCTGGGGTTGGGGTTTTGGAGAGCATGTGCGATGCGTGGGGCTCAGATCTCTCGCCGGCAGAGGCAGTCGTAGGTAGCACGTGCAGTTCCGGTATTTTGTTGAAAATGGAAATTTTAAGTTTTAAAGAAAAACGTGTAAAGCGGTCAATTGAATTGAATGATTTAGTGTGTGAGAAACTCAACCATGGTCTTGAATTCAATGCTGGAGTAGTGGAGTTGGACTTTCCAAGCGTGGGCCCCATCTCCTTGGTCCTTCAGTCCGTTACAAATCCAAAATTTACCTTCCAGTCCTGATAGAATGATGCTAATCCATATTTACCCTTGTTTTATTTATGTAAATTACTTCAAACAAATATGTATTCCCTGTCTTTAAACTCCCTTGTTTAAACTTTAAATATTATTCACAGAGTTAAATTACTGAATTATCCCTGGTAATTAGTAAGCAGATAAGATTTTAACAAATTTATAAGATAAGATGATCATTAACTACAAATATCAAGAAAACTATAGTACAATTATTTAAATATTGTATACAGTGAAAATTTCTTTATAATGATATTTCGTATAAGAATAATTTTTATATAGTTATAGAAAATTATAGTCCCAACTTTAAATAGTTATAAATAAGAATAAATTTTACGTTGTAATGAGTTATAATTTTTCTAATTTTTGTTTTAAGAAAGTTGTTTTTACATAGTAATAATTATATGTATATTGCAAAAGTATATATGCTATGTTACATTAAAGATTTAAGATAAAATAATTTTTTTTATCTAAAGTTGTTTGAGATAATAATTTATGTTTTACAATTGTTATCACATTTTTGAACTTGTTGGTACATAATAAATCGTTAGCATGTACACTTTCTTGTTGAAGCCAAACATGTTTAAAGCTTCTTAAAAACTTTTTGTAGTTTTATACTATCATCTTCAGGTTATCTCCTTCCTCTTCTTGTATAATTGTAGCAATTGTTTCTTCTTTAATTAAAACATACACGACTTGTTACTCATTTTGATGATTAAGGAAAACATTAATATTCATTTGATTAGTATAGTATAGTGTTGTTTAAGAATAAATGTACTAGTTTTTTAAAACTATGTTTATCTCTTTTATTAATGCCTATACCTTGGATTTGACGTGCTCCATTAATTAATTATTAATATAATGTATATTTTACCTCTATATTACTTGCAATAAGAATAACTAAGTCAAAACAATAATTTTTGTAACTACGTACCTCTATTAAATTATAATCACCTTATATTAATAAATTAGTTTAACCATATCATTATGAGTATACAGAAGTTTTACTGTATAATTTAAAATTCGTTTTAATATAATAGTAAATTTCAATCATTTGTCAATAAAGATTTTATCTTAAAATATTCTTAAATTATTCATTCATGGTTTATTTTACATGTACTATCAAATCTTTCTATAGTTATAATGGTGAGATCAAACTAATTTATTACTATAAGCAGGTTATAGCTTAATAAAGATATAGTTAAAAAAATTACTGTTTTCATTTCTTATTTTATAATTCACATTTTAGTATTATGTATCAGGATTTCAATTCATTATTTTAGTAGTTATTACTGCAATTAGACAAAAAGAGAAAATAAGTAATATTGAGGATAATAGTACGAAAATACAAAAAGTTTCATGCCAAAAAGCTTTAAATATATTTGAAAAACTAGAAATATTTTGGTTTCAACAAGAATATGTCAATGTTAGCGAGTTATTAAGTACCCACAAGTTAAAAAATGTGATAACAGCTCTAAAGCATAAATCATTGTCCAAACAACCTCACATAAATATTTTATTTCATTTTAAACCTTTAATGTGTGTATATATATATATATATATATATTTCTTTGTGAAGACAACTTTCTTAAGATGAGAATTATAAGATATATAATTTATTATAATGTGAAGTTTATTCTTTTTTATAACTATCCAAATTTGGGACTAGAATTTTTTATAACTATATAGAGGTTATTTCTATATAAAGTATCACCATAAAGATGTTTTATTGTATTATCACAATTTACTACAACTTAGAAGAGTATACGACTTCTCCCCCTCCCAAATAATGGGTTAATGACGCTTTTTCACCCACAGACTTTTAAAATACCATTTTATTATCCAAATTTATATTCTATTTTCGATTCTAGTATCGTTGCGACCCGCACACCACTATCATTCTCTTCCCTAATCATGACTCACCAAAACCCCTCAAACCCTACTCCTACCGACCCTGTCAATCATCGAAAATTAAGCTATTAGGGTTTGTGTAGCCGTCCCTTCCAAGTCAAATTTCAATTAATCCCAATCATAAAAATCCAACATTCTACCACTAAAAGACTTATCTGCCTCCCCTCTTTAAAAACCATAACAACCTAGATCGAGTTTGTTCTCTCTTTGTTGTCGGAATATAAATTTGAGTAATAAAATAATATTTTAAAAATATGTGAGTTTAAAAGTGTCATCAAATCATTATTTGGGTAGAAAAAAGTCGTTAACTCAACTTGGAATGATAACTTTGGATGCGTTTGGTTTAATATTTCTACCCATATTCCCAATCCTATTCCCCAAATATTGTTTGGCACATTATTCCAGAAATATTAGTGTATTTTTAATTACTTTTAGACCCCTTAAGTTTATTAATTTTACTAAATACCCCCAGAAAAAAGTTTAAAAATTAGCAAAAACACCCCCACCCACCCATACTTGCCAGATTCCGGCAACCACCGTCAATGGTAGCCGGAATCTGTCACAACAGTGAATAACCGACCTGAACTGGTTGGTTATTCACCTATCTGGCCTTTTTCGACCGTCCAAATCTTGGTCATCGTTGACAAAAAACGACGGCCATATCTTTGGCCATTGTTGACGGCCAAAGATGCACCTTTGCGGTCATAGATCTGGCATTTTTCGACTAGATCTGCGACGCGTTACGACACAGATTCGACCGTTGTCGTAACTCAATTTTTTGGCTAGATTCCGACGGTGGTGGCCGGAATCTGGCACTGCGAGTGGTGGGATTGTTTTTGTCATTTTATATATTGGGGTGTTTAATTAAATTAGCAAACCTAGGGATTTTTTATAAATTTATAAATTTTATCTTGTAATACTCCCCTATTCAACTATCTAATATTATTCTCAAGAATAAGTCTATCCTTACAAAGACTTATACAAAGAAGCCTACAAAGTGAAAAAAAAAAACAAAGAAAAAATGGAAAAAGAGAAAGAGAGAGAGAGAAATCATGAAGATCAAGGGTGGATGTTATATTTCTATACTCTCTTTGTATTTATCTTTGTAAGATTAACACTTCTCAATTCTCAAAATCTTATCCAAAATAATTAACCAAACCACCCTTTAATGTTAATTATTCTGCGGTTGGTCACATAAAATAATTTGACGAAATCAACGCTAAGAGTTCCCACCCTTATGCCATATTGTCCTCATTAATTGTTTTTTTTTTTTTTTTTTTTGGTCTTTAGTGTATACACAATCAAAATCGGTCTTTATCAGTCCAGCTGAATACTTATCCTCCTTCATACACGCTGCCCCACAAAACAATACCTTAGAGCAAGAAGCAATGAATTAAGACCCGACCCAGGTTTAGACCCGGTCAAATGTCTGGACTTATTTAGTTCTTTGAGTTTGTAGGATTTTTAATAATTCTAAAGATTAATTAAGTTTTTTTTTAGTTTTTA